TTCGTTTCCTGGTGCAGGAGGAGGTATCTTCTTATGGGGAGGAGGAGGCATCCTGTTGGGGAAGGGGGGAGGTATCTTCTTGTGGGGCGGCAGAGAGGCCTTCTTCGGGGGTGGGGGTGACATTTTCTTGGGAGGTGGGGGGGAGACCTTCTTTGGGGGTGAAGGCGGCGGTTGGTTGTAGTTCCTGAGCACAGTCTCGCGAAGTTCCTTAACATTGCAGAAGTTGAGAATGGTCGTCCGTTTTCCGACTGCATTGTTGCACCGGAGGTTTGTGCCCTTGTTGTTGAGACCCCAGTTGAGGTATCCCGTGTTAGAGTTCCCTGCGCATCAGCGAGTCGAACCATTGTCATGGCAATGGTCCTGCACAGCACATACTTCATCTCAGCAAGTGCAGCACGTGTATCTCCAGCACCACTGAATCACTCCCTACGTCCTGCTCACCAATATTGTTGTTGCCCACATTGTTGTCGCCAAAGTTGTTCTTTCCCTTGTTCCCGTTGCCAATGTTGGCGTCCTTGTCCGCAGTGCATGCCTTCTGTCTCGCCTTGAGGCATTCGAGGGCCACCAGGATCCTGGTGGACCGCTCCTTGATGACCTCAAAGGGAGTCATCCTGATGGCGCTGGCAGAAACGCCGAGGGTGTGAAGGGTGCTCTCCCTGACAAAACCCGCCTTGCTGTAGCCCATCCATCTGTGAAGATTGAGAATAGAAGAGTTGGTACTCTCACATCAAGAACATTCATCATCAAGGAGGATTCTCTCCCAGACAAGTTCATCTGGGCCACAAATCCACAAGGGCCGAGTACACACTTGCAAATGTTATCCGCGCTGCTAGCCTCCCACATGTAGACCTGTGGTCCATATCTGTTGGAGAGGATGGCGGGGGTGAGGGTGAGGTATAGAAAGACAGCGTCCGGATGCCGGCAGCCGCGTCCTTCCAAACCCCATAGCGTTGCGAAGTCCGGGCTTCTATAGTGAATCGCATACTCGATTGAAGCAGGCCAGGACGACAAGAGTACAATTCCGCCAGCTAACAACTCACATGGCTGTCGGGAGAGGGAAGAACTTCGTCGAGCAAGCGCCCTGTTTGATGGGATGGAGGGTCGGCGGACGTCAGCATCCTCAAGTGGTCAGTGAAGGACAACACCCACCTGGACAACAGTTATATTCCAACAACGTCCAATTGACCTACCCTCGCGAGCACACCGAGGCTCAGGACGAGAAGCGTCACGCTCACCAGCGGAGCGCGTCAGGGCGGCGCCATTTTTGGCAGAGGCCTTCTTCGGGGGTGGGGGTGACATTTTCTTGGGAGGTGGGGGGGGGACCTTCTTTGGGGGTGAAGGCGGCGGTTGGTTGTAGTTCCTGAGCACAGTCTCGCGAAGTTCCTTAACATTGCAGAAGTTGAGAATGGTCGTCCGTTTTCCGACTGCATTGTTGCACCGGAGGTTTGTGCCCTTGTTGTTGAGACCCCAGTTGAGGTATCCCGTGTTAGAGTTCCCTGCGCATCAGCGAGTCGAACCATTGTCATGGCAATGGTCCTGCACAGCACATACTTCATCTCAGCAAGTGCAGCACGTGTATCTCCAGCACCACTGAATCACTCCCTACGTCCTGCTCACCAATATTGTTGTTGCCCACATTGTTGTCGCCAAAGTTGTTCTTTCCCTTGTTCCCGTTGCCAATGTTGGCGTCCTTGTCCGCAGTGCATGCCTTCTGTCTCGCCTTGAGGCATTCGAGGGCCACCAGGATCCTGGTGGACCGCTCCTTGATGACCTCAAAGGGAGTCATCCTGATGGCGCTGGCAGAAACGCCGAGGGTGTGAAGGGTGCTCTCCCTGACAAAACCCGCCTTGCTGTAGCCCATCCATCTGTGAAGATTGAGAATAGAAGAGTTGGTACTCTCACATCAAGAACATTCATCATCAAGGAGGATTCTCTCCCAGACAAGTTCATCTGGCCACAAATCCACAAGGGCCGAGTACACACTTGCAAATGTTATCCGCGCTGCTAGCCTCCCACATGTAGACCTGTGGTCCATATCTGTTGGAGAGGATGGCGGGGGTGAGGGGGAGGTATAGAAAGACAGCGTCCGGATGCCGGCAGCCGCGTCCTTCCAAACCCCATAGCGTTGCGAAGTCCGGGCTTCTATAGTGAATCGCATACTCGATTGAAGCAGGCCAGGACGACAAGAGTACAATTCCGCCAGCTAACAACTCACATGGCTGTCGGGAGAGGGAAGAACTTCGTCGAGCAAGCGCCCTGTTTGATGGGATGGAGGGTCGGCGGACGTCAGCATCCTCAAGTGGTCAGTGAAGGACAACACCCACCTGGACAACAGTTATATTCCAACAACGTCCAATTGACCTACCCTCGCGAGCACACCGAGGCTCAGGACGAGAAGCGTCACGCTCACCAGCGGAGCGCGTCAGGGCGGCGCCATTTTTGGCAGTCCCCCAAACCTGAAAGCCTACCGGGAAGTGCTCCAATATACCTTGGGAGCTCAAAGGCTTTGAATCAGAATACAAGTAATGCGCACATCAAGATTCCTTATGCGACTACCCCCTTCTCCCCCTCCCTGGCCGGACACGTGGGCGTAGTGGAACGTACCTGTTCCGGAGGCGATACCCCCGCAGAGTCTGCTTCCTAAGGGCGTCATCCACGAATAAGGCAGTAGACAAAACCTCACTGACGTCGCTTTTTAGGGGTGTGGACCCGGAGTGATTTAGAATTCTCGCAGAGGCTCCATTAGGGATAAATTATATATCGTCGCGGCTTCATCGATGTCGCAGCAGTGCCAGCTCGCACCCTTTTCGAGTAGGCTTGAACAGCGCGATTTTTCCCGAGAACGAGCTTTATCTTTCGCTTGATATCGCCGCTAGAGTTAATAAGGTCCAGGACTAACTCAATTGAGGCTTGTCACACGCGCAACGGAACATTGCGGGTTACGCACAGCAACCGCCCCTTCCTTGGCCGTTCAACCCACTATCTTGGAAGCTCCCTGCTGCCCCAGCAGCTGCGCTTTTGTGCTGTGGCCTTGTCCGGCTCTCTTTGGATTTATCCAGGACACCGATTCCATTATTCGGTGGTGGGCGGACATTTGGCCTTGCAAAATTAAAAAAACTCGTAGAAACAGTGTCTGTTACAAAATGTTACTGCGTTTCCTACAGAATCGCACGCAGCGCTTTAGTTCCTACCCATACCCGCTTGTATGCTGTCTCTATGCTGCAGATGACGTCAGCCACCGAATTCGTCCCAAAAGGGGGGGGTGGCACTGTAGGGGGAACCTGACCCTTCCCCTGCTCAAACTCGGAAAAAGCAGGAGCCGCCGAGCCATGCTCTTGCCGACATAGCGAAGTAAATGCTGGTGATTTGCTCACATGGGAAAGAGAAGGATATTCAGGCAGCTTTTCATGGTTGGTGCCGACTTACACCTGCCACTCAGCAACAGTTTGTGATCATTTACGCTTACCTTTGGTCTTCTGTGAGCATGTGAAGTTCAGGTTGCAAAGACAAGCCACAGCTGTCCCAGCAAGGGTGCATGAATCGACTCACAGCTCCACATGAGAGATAGACTTCCAGCTGTGCATACTATCTAGCATCGCAGGACGAGCTTCCAAAGGGTCTTAAAGAGATTTGTTAAAAATCTGGACAAGGACAGATTAAATTCTCATAGATGAAGGTACATGCAGGCCGACCTCTCTGAGAGACGAGGCTACACCAACTCCTCCTTTGGCATATACATTAGCTTAACACATGACACAAGAAATCCTTCTCCATCATCTTCGTAATGCATCTATTGAGAAGTCGTTTGATAATGTACCAGGTAACACAGCGCAGGCATCACCCCCAATATCTTCAAGTCGTTCGGTGCAACCACTGTTTCACAATCCACAATGCTGAAAGAATCAGATTCAGACTACCCATCTTCAGTAACGTGCGTGCTGCCAGGCCTGACCATCTCTCAGATCGCACGTCATGAGACACAATGTCATGATATAACACTTTTCCAATTGAAAATCGCCTCAAACTCGGCTACTTAGTACTCCTGCATTCTTATGAGAAAGGTTTGCTTGTAGTAAAAAGGTTGATTGTAGTACACTGCTACCATCAAATTGAGTTCTCCTTCAGCAGGCGCAGACGGTTTGCTGTTGGGGTGTGTTGGTCCTACGGTCACGGACCGCATACAACAGCGGCTTGGACGATACCTGAGTTGAGAAGGGAGATCGCATGGTATAAGGGCTTTCGATGCACACTGACCGAACATGGACCCTTATGCGAGTAGACCTCTCTTGCATCCCTATAATTACCCCTAGAGCATTCTGCTGCTCGCACAGAGTCCTGCATTCAGGCTTGCCCTTACCTTGACGTAATTCCCATTCCTGCAGGTGTTGGGGGCGCCCCGGTTGCAGCAGGAACTGACGATCATCCAGTTGCACAGTTAGGGGGGGGGGGGGGCAGTGATCCTGGGGCTGGGATTTTGGCCAGCCTTCGCAGGGCTTCCGATTGCGGGGGACCTGGATGATTGTAGGATGAGGGTTCCCGGCAATGAGATCTCAGAATTTCGGGGTGGAATCCAGGTCTGGGCAAGAGCATTCACTCGACCTGGATGGCATGTGGTCTCAAGGATCCTGCAGGGTAGTGCGCGCATAACACATTGATGGCTCCTTCACTGCCATTGTGTACCTGGTGCCAGTGCCCGGTGAGGCAGTGACGGACTTGGACGGCGAGGTCGTGGACCGGGAGGTCGGCGAGGCCGTGGAGGGGGAGGTCGTGAGTTGACACTTCTCCAGCTCCGTCAATGCAGAGGCGAGGGCACTGGAGGTTGCCGTGGCCTGCGAGTTGGGCGACGAGGTATGACGTCTGCAAAGCATACCCGCTTGTTGCAGGAGCAGTGTGGTAGGGGCCTACCCCATGGCGCATTACCTCCAAGGGCATGGGAAAGAGGGCTTTGGAGCTTCATGTCACTGTACAGCGATTCCTGAAGGAGCCCTTCCCTCCCCAACCCCCTCTTCAACGCACCGTGGCGTTGGCAACAGCTTCAGCGTTGGCAGTGGCCGTGCCTCCGCCCTCCGCACAAGCCGATGCAGTGGCCGCAGCGGTGGCGACGGATGTCTTGATGCTGAAAGCGGTGGCTTCAGCAATGGCCTGGGCGCTGGAGGCACAACAAGAAGCAGCGGCGATTGCGGTGGCGCTGGCCTCTGAAATGGCTGTTGCCAAAGCGGTGGCAGTTGCCGTGGCATCTCCACACGCCTTTGCTCCCTTACCAGTCGTCTTGGCAAAGACACTGGCATAGGCCCTGGCTGTGGCCTGTGGTGAGGGATTAGAGAAGCGCAGTGGCATCATCACCATGTACTCCCATAGGGAACGGGGAATGCTGTCGAGGGAATCAACATTACTACTGGAGGAGAGACTGACCTGAAAACGCATTGGACCTAGGTTTGGGTCGAGTTTTGTGCGCTGTCCCTTTGGGAACCCTCTCATGCACAGCATGTACACGCAGTCAGACTGGACTCACCTTGGACACTGCCTCCGCGATTGCCTTGGCCTCAGCAGATGCGCTGCCCCCTCCGCACACATCCGCCACCGCTGTGGCCAGGGCAGAGGCAGTGGATGTCTTGACCTCACTGAATGCGGCGGAGTTGGCAACGACTACAGCCTCCACGAGGCCTTCCTGGCCATCGTTCAAAGCCTGGGAGGTGGCCTCGACTTTGGTGATGGCGCCAGGGTCGACGGTGGTGCCAGTGCCCTGGCTGATGGCCTGGCACGGGGGGGAGACGGAGGGTTGAGAGGAGGGATTCCGACAAGAGCTCCTCACATGACGGACAGTACACAAAAGAGATCCTGGTCCTGGCCAGCGACGGCCCGCAGCGCTGAGGCACAAAGTGCTCAGCTGCATTTCTGCAGCTTGGAGCGACGTCTTGAAGCCACAATGAATCTTCTGTTCAGTAACCACAGCTTTGGAAGCATCCTGACCTTGGCAGTGGCATTGGCGGAGGCACCCCCCGTGGACACAGCCTGTGCAGCGGCCTTGGCAAGGGCTTCTCCCTTCCCGCTGGCGGTGGCGATGGCACTGGCCTGTGGTGTGAGGGTTTGGAGGGACAGATCATTCCACAGATGTAAAGGGTGTAATATTTTCAGTTGACAATTATTTCCGAAAACACCGATTGAGTTCCTATCCAGTACCTGTGCGACAGCATTGCTGTTGCCGGTCGACAGGGCCTGCGGAGGGCCGCATGTGGAGGTGTGATATCAGCGCAAACGTAACCAGTATTCGATGCTAAGATGCAGTTGCTCTCAGCAAATTGGAGATGCTGGATACGCTATTTCAATGTTTTCTGTTCGTGATCAGCAATCTCACCGAGGCTATGGCTTGAGCAGCTGCTTTTGTGTTCCCGGAAGCCACCGCCGACGAAATTGCCGTAGCTGTGGCGCTTGCAGAAGCTTGCAAATTCCGACCATGGAATCCCGCAGAGTCGCGACTGTTCGCAACCACGCCCAGGGCCAAAATAACCATGAGACGCCAGATGGATGTCTTCATGACCTCTGTCGGTAGGGTAGAGATGGTAATGTACCAGCACTCGAACACTGACAACGGGCATGCGACATGGCGACAGGAATTCCCCCATACCTGGCTTGTAATGCTAGCTTCACCGACCCGCACGGGGTTCAGGGAGAACGGTCACCTGATGTACATGAGAACAGTATTTAAGTTAAGAAACAGCACGGATATAGGATGCCTTCATGTGATCACATCGCAGCTGCTACCCTCGCTGCGAAGGCATGTGAAGGCAGCGACTGGGGATTGAGTCATCAGCTTCTAGCTTTACAGAATCATATCATGTCCCTGAGTTCGGCTTCGTGATGCGACTGTTGGGAATGCAGGTCGTATCCAGTCGACCTCTGAGAACGAGGCTGGAGCCGCCACAGAGATAGGGCGTAGTTGATGTCGCTGAGACCTAAATCCCAGACTCGGAACCAGTGAAAGGACCTGTATCTTCCGGGAATTCCATCGGCAGGCCGGGTAGACCTTCCATTGACGGAATTTTCGGCCTGAACGGTAACCCGTTACAAAGCTAGCACTTATACGGTTCTTCCGGTTATTTAGCTCACTACCTCTAGTCGATAGTGGGGTGCATAGCTCCCGCCAGCATCATGATTTGCCGACATGGAAGGTTGACGGCCCTGATCGGCATGAAGTGTGTCATAGCTAGCAAAAATGCACGAAAGACTCGCGCGCCAGTTCATGTCGGTGATTGGGTTGACTCGAGACCGTGCCGCATGCCGGCAGCCTGCCGAATGTCGAGCCACGTAACATGGATGCGTCGGGTTCAAGAATCGATATTTCAACGCGAGTGGGCACCATCGCACCCTACCTTGTCCTTCCCCGGAGGGCCGTGGTCGGCTGGAGGGGTAGCTCCCGGAATGGCCCGCCGACCTCCGGCACTGCCTCTGACGGTCCTGGAGGAGATAGATGAGGAGTCTTCCACCTCATGGGCGGATGATGGTCCCAGCCCGGCCCCAGCACCCTCCCACGACGCTCAGATCGCCCCTGTCCATGTTCGCCCCCCCGGATCTGGGGCCGTCGCATCCAGCTCCGGGCGGGGGGCCCTGCGGGACAGGGTGCGGGCTGCAATCGGCCGGGCACCCCCATCCGACCCCTCGATGCCACCCCACCCGGCCCGGGAGCTCTCGGGGTGTGCATCACGTGCGCCGCACCAGGTCCCTGGTGTGGAGGCAGAGGCCCGGCACCATGTGAGCCCGCTGGCCGTCCCCCTGCCACCCCCACCGCCCACTCACCCCCCGGCCCTCCGCCTGGCAGCCTTCCTCCCCCGCCAGCTGGCGCAAGGCACGCCGTCCCCACCCCCCTGCAACCCCTTGGACCGACACTGGCTGGGCGCAGCGTGCGCAGCGCAGCCCATGCCCCCCCGGATCGGCGATGCCCTGGCGGCGCTGGGGGAGACCAGGCCGGGGGCACCCAGGCCCGACATCCCGGGCATCGCCCTGCCCGAGATCGCCTGGGACCTCGCAGGTGGGTTTGAAGTTGGGTGGGGAGGCTGGACCTCGCCCAGAGAGCTTTTAGTCGCGGGCAACATGCTTGCGTGGCCCAACCTGGGTCGGTGCCGTGTGTGTATGTGTGAAGCAGGACACCGCAGCTTCGCCACGACGGGCCACCATCCCCTTTGGACCCCCACAGGTGACCTCCCCGTACGTATGGACTCGCCACCCTACAGCCTGGCGGTCCTCCCCTCCTCCCGCCCCGTGGCGCGCTGCGACGCCGAGGCGGCCGCTGACCTGCTCCGGCGCTGCCGGCGGGACCCAGCCACCGCGGCGCGCGCGGCGGGCGCCTGGCGGGAGGAGGTGCTGGCGGCGGCCTGCGCGCCGGCCGTGCGCGCGCTGGCGGCCAGCTACCCGCCGGCTGCCCTGCAGGACACCCTGCGCCGGACCCCCGTCGAGGAACCCAGCGTCGTGCTGGGTCGCAGTGCGGCCTCGCGGCAGCCCTGTGATGCTCCCGTGCACGTTGCGCATGCTGCGGATGCCGCGCCCGCACCCCGGCGCGCGCCCGAGTGGCCGCCGGCCCGGCCCTGGCGGGACCGGGTGGCGCCGCACCACGCCGCGGGCGGCGCCCCGGACCTGGCCTTCGACCCCGGGGGCGTCTCGGGCGGCGACCCGTCCATCAGCCAGCCCCCCGCCGCGCACGGCTTCGGCGCCTGGGACGAGCGCTGCGCCGGCGCGCTGGCGGCCAGCCTCGCCGTGGTGGCGGCCGAGGTCGTGCGCCAGGCGGCGGCCGGCTGCGCCGACCTAGCCGCCCTCCTGGCCGACGCCTGGAACGCCAACACCGCGCTACTCGGCGGCGCCGCAAGGCGCGCGCGTGACCAGGCAGTGCGCCTGGCCGCCGCCAACGCGGCGCTGGCGGCCGAGGCAGCGGCCGCCCGGGACGCGGGGCGGGCGCAGCGGCTGGCCCTGCTGGAGCTGGCCCGCGAGCGCCAGGTGCAGGGGAGGCGGGGTGCACCTGGGGGTGTCCCTTGGCGGAGGGAGGTGGGTTTTGAGGATGTGAGATGGGCAAGCTGCACAGTCTGTCCCATCTGAGGCCGAGGGGGAGTGACCTACGCCCTGGATCCAGTTTGCGCCTGAGCGCTTGCCATTGATATCAAGACGTAGCCACCAGCACGCAGGGGTAAGGGGAAAGATTATGGTTAACAACCCAGGTGATCAGACACCCAATTTCTCAGTCTCAACCCCCGGGCAGGAGGGTGAGGGGCTGCGGGCGCAGGTGGCGGCCGCGCGCGATGCGCAGGCGGCCGCCGTGGCGGCCAGCGAGGCGCTCCGCGCGGAGCTGGCGGCGCTGACACGCCACGTGGAGGCGCGCCTGCGAGTTCTCTCCTGGCAATTTGCCGGGCGCATGGTGGGGTCGGGTTCGGGGCCCGCGCCTGCTCCAAAGCTGCCCGCCGGACAGCCAGACGCATCCCTCTTGGCAAAGGTACCAGGGAATAATGGAAGAGAAGGAGTGTATCGCTGCATAGGGGCACATTCTTGCTTGCTTGTCCCTGGGTATAACAAGCGATGCCTAGAACAGTCCCTGTGTCAGCACGACACAACCCCTGGCTCATCACTGGAGTCCTTTGCCCCTCCATTTGTGCGCCCACGCAGGTCGAGCAGCTGGAAAGGACCGCCGTGGCTGCCGCGCTGCAGGACCATGCAGCCAAGCTGCGCGGCAGGGGTGGCCCGAGTAATTGAGATAGGCCGCCAGGCGCGAGGGATGCTCAATGCTGCAGCACGCTATGCCCACCATGTGCAGCAGTCTGATCCTGTCCTCGCAACCTCCCATGCCCTTCCTCCCAAGCTGCACGAGCTCCCTCTGACAGCATGATGATATCCTCACGACAGCTGCCTGGCAATCCAGAGCAGTAGCCTGCACTTTCAACGGCCTACGGCGGTGGCACTCGCCGCTCAGCACTGCAGCTGTTATACTCGAGCGCTCCTCCCTCTCTTTGCAGCAGCGCCGACACAGATTCGATGTGGGCCGGCCCCACGCCACAGCACCCGCCCACGATGCCTGCTCCCGCCCGGACCCAGGACGCAGCGTGCGCAGCATATGCGCCTGGCAGCAGGTCGCCCACCTCGTCATAGTCCCCGGCATCATTGATGTCGGCCTTCCCCCGACCCTCCAGCCACTCGCCGGTGGTCTGGCGGAAGCCATTGGCGTAGCCGCCAACCCGCACGCCGGCCGGGGCCAGCCGTCGCAGGCAGGGCACCGCTGCGCCCACCGTGCCCGGGCTGCTGCAGTTAATCAGGATGGCCTGGAGGCAAGGGATGTCCTTCACCCTGTCCCAGGCGGCCTGTGGGGAAAAGGGCTGGGATTGTCAAAAAGCCTTACAACAAGCACCTACGGGGAAGCCCTGCCCTCCGCCCTGGCCAGGCGATGAGGCAGCCAAACTCCCCAGCCAGCGCCGCACCTGCAGGCTCTCCCCCGAGCGCAGGCGTGGCTCCCCATCGCTGGCGTCCTGCAGAGTCCAGCTTATCCACACCGGCTTCCCCGTGGCCGCCGCGGCCGAGGCCGCCACCGCGGCCTCGTCGGCGGAGGACATGGTCTCGCACAGCAGGACGTCCACGGCTGGCGCCATGGCGTGCGCCAGTGTGGCATACTCTTCAAGTTGGGCGTGGGATCGGTCTGCCGCCGGGGGAAGGTAGCTTGGGCCAAGGGGGGGAAGCGACCCTGGCACGCGGGCGATGCGGAGGCAGAAGGGAATCAATGACTGCTATGGAGAAGCCACGGCTCACCTGGTCTCCGCCTTGACTCAGCAAGCTTCACCCGCTCAAAGGCCAGCTCCCACGCACACTGCGCCACCTCGCCCGTCTGCGCCTCGCACCTGCGACCACGACCGGCCGCGGCGCTGCGTCGGCGGCTCTCCTCGCCAGCATGGCGCCGGCCGCTGCCAGCTCAGCGGTCCTCTCTGCCGCACCAGCCCTGCTCAGGGACCAGGACGTGCACCCAAAGGTGTTGCTGGTGATGACGTGGCACCCGGCTGCGATGTATACCTCATGCAGGCCAACGATCAGGTCGGGAGCGGCAGCGTTGGCCAGCGCGGCTGCAGCAAACTGCCGCTCAACCGGTAGATCGGGGGCGAAGCGGGCTATGTCCTGAGACTTGAGCAGATGCCCCATGCCGCCATCCAGGAGGAGCACCGAGTCAGCGGTGCCGGAGGCCATTGGGGCTACACAGCCTGTCGACGGTACTTGTGGAACCGCAAGATCGAAGTGAGTCACTACAACAAACCCTAGTGGGAGAGTTCGATCACCTGGACAGTGGGTGCATGCGGTGGAGCATGACGTGCACGAGCTCAGATCACCGAAAGCATTTCATCGAGCTGTGTCACTCCGCGCGCGAGAAACTTGGAACCTGCGTTGCGGAGCTTCCCCTGAGATTCATGACACGGCATACATTGATGGACGCCGCATACATACCATCGAGTCGGTGAACAGACTGTAAAGGTCAGATACTATACTCATCGATCGCCAGATCTTACTCCGAGACGTAAACGCAAGCATAACCCCTCCGATCGAGTGCCGGCATTTTCCTGAGGACCAGCGACACACAGATGGGAACCTCACAAGACCTCGCCGAGTGGGCGAGAAACAACAAACTGAGGGCCATAGGTGAGATTGATTATCTGCATGGCTGAAAGCAGGTGCTGGGCCCTCAACTTCCCGGCCTCGCATGCTCCATGCATCGAGTCTTGCCCTCCTCATCACACAAACTAGGTGGACTGTGGGCCACCGGTCTTGTCGCTTCCCTGGGCTATCAAATGACGCGCCCCATCCCCATCAGCCTCGCCATTATTCACAGCCGTGTTTATGCCCAGGTTTGTTGGGGGACCTGGTTGAACCGCCCGCCTTTGAGGGTGACAGGGTTGGGGAATGTGTGTACAGAGGCCTCACAGATGCTCTGGATCAACCCTCTCTCTCCCCGATTCCTCATTCATCTTCAGGCAATCACGTTGGCAGCTCTGGCTGCTGCGGGCTCGGCTCACTTCTTTGGCTTGGATGAACCCTCCCCTGATGCTCAGAAGGATAAGATCTGAGTCTTTGCAAGGCCAGGGATGTTGGTGTCGCACTTTTTCACATGTCAGTGCACTGATTTGGCAACCATCTTCGGTAAAGTATACATCGAGCAAATCTTAAACGCACGAAGGTAAAGCTTCGATTGATGCTTGGGCAAAAGGTGTTTAGACCTGTCCAAGAAGCGGGGAAGCAATCAAAGAGCATCTTTTACAGATCTCATCCAGGGCTTTGTGCGATGTAACACGGGGATGAAAGTGGCATCCTTGGTCCAGGCCAGATACCTCTGATATTATATTTTTCGACATTATAAGCGGGAATAAGGCCATAGAGGGCCACCGAGCCGCGCAAAACCCTTGGACATCATCAGCTCATGAAGCGAGCCCTATCGTACGCCAGTACTCTTTTCTGTGGGAATGGAGCCAAGCGAGCTTTCGCAGCAGCCACATCCATCGCATCGGAAACCTGTGCTTTTGCCAACGACGGCCCTTACGGTGTGGCTCCCATGACGGCCTCTGTGCCTATTCCCGGGTCCACCCTGTCCCCGCTTCCCGTCCGGGTGACGATCCCGCAAGGACCCGTTCAGCCCTCCCCCATCCTGTACCTGTTCAACGGATTCAGGGTAAGCCTCTCACCAGCAGGCCTTGCGACGTTTGCACAGCCCCGCGACGCTTCCATTCCCATCCATCCCCGTCCGGTGGATCGTCCGGATCGCATATTCTCACATGAGTGCTCTCCGCCCCATCCTCACCCGACCTCACAAACGTGCACCCTCAGATGACCTCCAGCTACTACAAGGCCTACGCCCAGAGGGCAGCTTCCTGGGGTTATCTCGTCGTGCAGTACGACACACCCTTTTTCTCCCTCCCCACCGTCGTCCAGGAGGTTTGTGGCCCAGTTTTGTCGGCTTAGGAAGTCCAGCACCTCACCCAACGGATGGCTGCATGCCGCTTCCCGATCCAACACCACGGTGGTCACCTCTGTACCTCTACCCTGCGCGCCTGTAGATGGACGTCCACCCAGCGCTACATGCCTGGGTCGAGGCACAGGGCAAGGCCGCCACTGGCTTGCTGAGCGGCCGGGTGGCGGCGGGGACCTGCGCCACAGCGGGGCACAGCCGCGGTGGCAAGCTGGCGACGCTCCTCTACCTCCGTGGGTGGCAGAAGAGGTGGCTGTGGGTCGGGGTGGACCTTGCACCTGCGGTGACCCTTGATGGGAGTTGGGGAAAGTGTGCCGTCTTAGTGGGTATCTTTGAGGTCAGTCCACGCCAGGGAGATGTGGTGGCGGGGAAGAGTGAGCATGCAAGAAAGATGGGGGCGCCCATCAACCCACAAACATCATACCTTCCCTCTGCCCTCCTGCGCAGAGCACCGTGCCTACATCAAGGCCTGCTTCCTGATCGATCCCGTGGACGGCTCCAGCCAGTCGCCCGCCTCGGATCCCAGCGCCGCGGCCGCGCTGGCGGCGGCCGGCGCGGCGGTGGGCATGAGCTCCGCGGGGAGGATCGGGTCCTGCAACCCACGCGCCTCGGGGTCGCTCGCCTTCTGGGCGGCCACCGGGCCCGGCAGCTGGAACAGTGTGCTGCCCAACGCCAACCACGCCTGCTTCGCCCAGGCAGGCTGGCTCCTGAACCACGCCTTTGACCTCCTGTGCGGCAGGAGTGGGGTGGGGCGGGAAGCTGCCCAGCAGCTGGCCACGGTCCCCATGCTGACCTGGCTCTGGGACAGCCTCAGCCAGGTGTGGGCTCAGGGGGGCAGGGAGGACCAGGCACAGGCTTGGTTTGGAGGGCATCGCTGGTGTGGTGGGTGGGGTGCTCCTCCCATGCCAGGGCTGCACGGTCCTTCCACCGCCAGACCGCTGTCACCACCACGCAGGGGGCCGGAGCGGCAGTCATCCTGCCTCCGACGACAGAGTCTCCCGACCCAGGCTTCAAGGAGTGGTACGCTGCTCAGGTGGAATCTGGGTTGGTCAAACCCCTGGAGGTGAAGACCCCGAGCAGCAAGCCGGTTGCACCACCGGAGGAGCAGGTTGTGAGGGCTCCACAGCGCATGCCGCTGCCTGCTTGAGCGCGATGGATTCGTGTGCTTCTGCCTGAGAAGTCGTTACACAGTTTTGAGCCAGAACCCCATATCTCTTCGACTTTGCGAAGTGCCCCTACCCCTGCCTCCCCCAACTACCCCCACCCCCCCAACCATAGCATGCGCTGCATACGTGTGCCTCGCCCCATGGCCCTCGGCCCTGCGACACACATTCCGGGATCGGGTCTGCATGACACACCGTTGCAACCTCCAAGATATTGCTGGCATTCCGGGATCACCTTGTGGTGGAGTGGGGTGCTCCGAGGGCCAACGTGGTATGCTAACAACCCGGACGCTGGTCTCCGGGTGAGGCTCGCCACATGTTCAAGAAGCTGCGATCCTCCTTCACCGGTGGATCTAAATCCAGCTCCAAAGTACGCCTGGATGTGACCGTCGTGTCCGCGGCCGGACTGCCGGGCCCCACGTCCTGTCGGGTGGTGTGGGCTCGGCAGAGCAAGGTGCAGGTCACGCGACAGGCTAGTGTCGGGGAGACAGGTGCGTGGTGCGATGGAAGGGCACGGCATGCGAAATTTCCATTTGTGCACCGGATCGTAGGGTAGGGTCCGCCCTGCCGGCACAGCAGGCGGGGACTGAGGTTTCATAGCCTGGTGCTCAGTATGGGCTTCACCCACCCTCCCCCACTTTCTGCCAATCAGGCACCGCGAGCTGGAATGAGGAGCTCAGCCAGATCGCGACCATGGAGCGGGACGCCAAGGGCGCTTACCTCCCCAAGGTATTGCCCGGGCGGGCAGCGAGGCTGCACTTGGGGCGGGAGCGTGGGGTGGGTACGAGTGTGGGAGACGCAGCCGACGCAGTGCCAAGAGACTGGGTTGCTTGGTAGCTACCCGGATCTCTTCCTGCATCCATGAGCATCACCTTCTTTGCCTCTGGCCGAGGTATTGCAGCTGGGATGCCACTTGTACCAGCCCCCGCTCCCCCTTCTCAGGAGTACGTGCTGAAGCTGCAGTGCCCCGACCGCAGCGCCGCCGGCAAGTTCTCCACCGTCGGCAAGCTGACCTTCGACATGGCCTCCTGTGTTGGCACCGGCTCCGGCAAGGCCGCGCGCAAGGACCTGCGCATCCCGCTCAGCGGCCGCGCGGCCGCGCGGCCCGTGGCCGTGCTCACGCTGCTCGTCTCCGCCACCCTGGTCCAGGGCATGGACGGCGAGGAGATGGAGGAGGAGGAGGAGGAGGACGACGAGGACCTGGCGTCCGACACCTCCTCCGTCCATGGCACCACCCCTGCTGACGCCCGTGCTGCGGGCGCGGGCAGGGGCGCCCGGGACGGGAGCGTGGCGGCGCGGAGTGGATCGGGTCTCGAGGCGGGCGGGGACCCCTCCAGCCCCGTCAAGCGCCCGGGCAGCCCCCTGAAGGCGCGGATGGAGGACCTGAAGAACAGCGTCGCCGCGGCCGCCGCGGCCTCGCGCTGTGAGGCCGACAGGGCCGGCGCTGGGGTAGAATGCGCCGCTGCGGGGTTCGGCGGCCTTGCGCTGGGTGCAGAGGCGCGGCCAAGCACCGGCGTGGGAGACCCGCCGGGCGAGTCTGGAGGGGCCAGTGCAGGCGGTCCGGGGCCCGGGCCTCAAGCGCCGTGCGCCCACCATGCCGCCAGCGGGGTGGGCCCCGACCCCTCGGAGGCCATCATCTCGGAGCTGCGGCTCCGGCTGCAGGCGGCGGAGGCCCGCGCCTCGGCGGCGGAGGCCGCGGCGGCCGCGGCGGCGGCGCGCCCAGGCGCCGAGGCGGCCGCCCAGGCAGCGCGGTACGAGGCTCGCATCTCCCAACTGCTGGCGCTGGTGGAGTCGCGCGCGCAGGGCGGCGGCGAGCTGGAGGAGCGGCTGCTGGCCGCCGAGGCGGAGGTGGGCGAGGCGGAGGCTCTGGCCGGCGAGGCCATGTCGCTGCTGGAGGCGGCGCAGGCAGAGGCCGCGGCGCTGCGCGGCGCACTGGCCCAGGCGTCGCGCGACGCGGAGTTCGCCGCGGGCCAGGCGTCGCGCGAACGTGGCGCCTGGGAGGCGCGGCTCAAGGAGGCCTTCCGCCGCGTGGAGGGCGCCGTGGCACTGGCGGAGCGCGCCGCCGAGGAGCGCGACGCCCTGGCCGAGCGCTGCGCGGCGCTGGAGCGCGAGGCCGGGGTGGCCACGGCGGCCGGGGCCGTGGCGGCGGGGGTGGTCGGGGCCGCGGCGGTGGGGTCCGTGATGCAGGGCACGGCAGAGGCCTCCGCCGACGCCGGCGCGGGGGCCGGCGCGGATGCTGTGGCGGCCGCCGAGGCGCGCGCGGCGGCGCTGGCGGCGGAGCTAGCCGCCGCGCAGAGGCGGTTGCGCGGGATGGAGGAGGCGGTGGAGCGCGCCGAGGCCGCCCGCGCAGCGGTGGAGGTCGAGCTCGAGCACGGGCGCGAGGTCGGAAGCGGGAGTGGGAGTGGTGGCGCTGCGGGCGCCGCGGGCGTCGACGCCGACGCCGACGCCGACGCCGACGCCCACGATAACGTCCAGGCCGCGGGCGTGGACGCCGACGCGTACGACGCGCTGGCCCTGGAGCTGCAGTACGCGCAGACCGAGGCCGCGCGCCTGCGCGGGGAGGTGGAGGGCGCGGCGCGCGAGGCGGCGGCCGCCT